GTGAAGTGAATGAATAGACGTGGGAAATATTCTTGAGTTAAAAGCCTCACAACTTCTCCTTCTCTGGATGTGAACGGGTGATGAACACAGAAGAATGAAATTTGTTTCTGTATTTTAGGCATAAGCCATTGGTGCTATGTAATTATCTGCAGTGAGACAAGGGAGAAGGAGATCAGGTATTGGGTGAAGAGTGGGAAGTCAAGACTTTAGCTCTGTAGTTGTCAGTTTTGAGACGCCCATCAGACTTTTAAGTGCTGATGTCAATAGTTGTGCTGGAAGAGTAAACCAGGAGTTCAATAGGAGACTAGACTTGTAGATATCAATTCTAGGCTGTTAGCAAGGGGCGGGGGGAGGCGATCAAATTCAACCATCAGACATTTCATGATAAAAGCTCCAACACCAAGAAGCCACTTATAAAGGAAGGAGTCAACAGTGAAAAGGCAGAAGACACCAGAGAGGAAACAGACTTGTCATCAGGAAGGGGAGGCAACAGAGATCTCTAGACATCTTTATTCACTGATACTCTACTTGTTGATTATCTCTTTTCTCTGTCCCCTTAGTCTTTGGTAGGTACAATTCTTGTCTTGGGTTTTATGAATTTGACCATTTTAATTGCACCATATAAATGGAATCATGCACTTAATTTTCTTACTGTGTCTGGTTTATTTCTGTTGGTATAACGTAAAATATAAAATATAATTTCTATAGAGTAATGTTTGATATGCATTCAAATTCATCCCATAAGTTCTTGTATCTCACAAATAGTAAGAGAACCTCATAAATGGCAGACTTGGGCCCAAACTACAAAACTGTTATCAAAATGAAAACATGAAGATGACCTACATTTTAACCACTGGAGATCTGCTGGTACATAATATCTTTTCTATCGGACTAAAGGCTCATTTTTGTTTTTATGACATTGGTTATAATGCCTCCATTTTCATTTTTTATTTTATTTACTTGAATTTCCTCTCCCTTTTTCATAGCCTAGATAATTTTGGCCAATTTTAGTTGCTTTTTTGAAAATAAAATTCTCAGTTTTGATGATTTTTTCTATTGCGTTTCTACTTTCTATACCATTTATTGTTGCTTCAATCTTTATTTTTTCCTTTTTACTAACTATGGGTTGAGTTTGTTCACTTTCTCAATCTTTGAAGTATCGAGTTGGGTTGTTTATTTTACATCTTTCTTCTTTAATGTAGATGTTTACTGCTATTGTGTGTGGTCCTTAGAAAAGATGCTTGCTGTGAAGTCAGTCTTCTTAATTCTCTTTGGACTGGTTTTGTGTTCTAGCGACATGTGATGTATCTGGGACAGTGCTCACTATGCCACTTGACAAGAACTTGTGTTATGCTGCTATTGGGTGACATGCTTTGTATCTTATTAAATCCACTTGAGCTGCAGTGTTGTTCAAGTTACGTATTTCCATATTGATTTTCTTTCTTTCTGTATTTTCTATCTTTTGTTGAAAGTGAGGACATTGAATTGTCTTAGTTTTGTATTGCTGTCAATTTCTTCCTTCATTTCTGTCAAGTTGAAAAGTCTGTTCAGCTGCACTTACAACAAGTAAACAATATATTTATAAATGTTATTATAGTATATATCTTATAAATCTACAATTATAATTACTATATCGAGATGAACTGATATTTTTACCATTATATGTATATTTTGTCTCTTGTGATACTTGTTTAAGTGTGTCTGCCTGATATAAATACAATATTACTGTTTGTTTTTGGTTATCAAGTGCATGGAATATCTTTTTTTAATTCCTTCACTTTCAGTCTTTCGGGTGAAATTTTAGACAAAATGGAACAAGAGTTGATAGATACATTTTTCCCTTGCCCAGGACTGAACTTAGTAAGTAGTCATCTCCAGTTATCAGTGATAACTTTTCCTTTATTCTATTTCCTTCCTTTCGTCTCTCCTCTGTCCCTCATTCATGACTCTGGGGCCACATCCTTTTTAAAAAAAAAAAAAGTTAAAATAAGCTTTTCCCTCCATACTGTTGATCCCAGGCTCAGAGATTAAATGCTTTAATTTTCCCAATATAAAAAGATCAATATTGGGCCTCCCTGGTGGTGCAGGCCATTGAGCGCAGTGCTGTGAAGCTGCAGTGCCGGTTCCATCCCCGTCGGCTGCAGAGCAACCCACATGGCACGGCAGACCTCTCCTGTCTCCCCGCTGCTCCCCTCAGCAGTGTGTATTTCAGTCAGTCTGCCTGTTCTGCTCCCCACTCTGTCTCTGGTGAATCCTCTCACCCTCCTGTACATCTGGCCTGTACCCCAGTTCTTTTTTTTTTAATTTTATATATTTTTACATCATTTTTCATTTTTGTACAATGTATGCATTTTTATCTTGGTTATAGTCCCCATACAATTCCCACCACCCTTGTTTTCATTCTACTCCCTTCTCCCTACACCTCCCCCCGCCCCATAGTGTGTCTCTGGTTTATAGTTGCTTGTTGATTTTTACTTTATTATAATTAGTCTTTTTCCTGGTCCCTTATTTGGGTTTTCTAAATTCCTGCTATGAGTGAGACCATCCCGTATTTTTCTTTTTTTTGTCTGGCTTATTTCCCTGAGCATGATCCCTTCTAGCTCCATCCATGTTGCTGCAAATTGCATGTGTTTATCTTTTTTGATTGCTGAGTAATGTTCCATTGTGTATATGGACCACATTTTCTTGATCCAGTCATCTATCTTTGGGCATTTGGGTTGTAGCTAAGCTACAATACCATAGCTTAGCTATTGTAAATAGTGCTGCAATAAACATAGGGGTGCAGGCACCCTTTGGAATTGCTGTTTCTGTGTCCTTTGGGTAAATACCTAGGAACAGAATTGCTGGATCGTATGGAAGCTCCATCTTTAGCAGATTGAGGAATCTCCACACAGCTCTTCATAATGGTTGGGTTCTTGTATAAATAAATAAATCTTTAAAAAAATCACTATTGTGATAATGTCCATATGCAAACAGAGGGGAATCAACATTTCTAAGTTAAGTCTGACCAGACTGCAGGATATTGCATTATAAGGTAAATTATCTCTATGTATATGCTATCCTGTATTTCAAGTTCATTGTTAACAATTTTCCAGATGACTAAGAACTTTGGATAGACTTGAAGTCACATCACCCTTTTCAGGCAGTTGGCTCCCACCCAATGATTTCATTGTCCTTCTGCTGACACAAAATATTTCTTGCTGTTAGTCTTTTATTCCCCCTTAGCCACATACCAGACTTTGCATAGATCATCTGGTTAAGCCATCAAATAGAATGTAAAATGTAGCATCTCAATAACCTTCCAGGTTTCAGAGAGTGCCATCATCCATCATAGATAATAACATCCCACCAAGCACTCAAACACAACATATTTAAACAATAAACACATGGATCAAACAGAAAAGGCTCTGAAAATACTCTAGTAAGAGAACACAGTTAAAATGTTGAGTACCATTGCATACATAATTATAACCTTTTATTAAAATAATCAGATGTACTGGCTTAAATTTAGCTTTCATACCTATAATCACTTTTGGGTTTTTAAATGTACTAGACTTTGGGTGTGTATTTTGTACTTAATTTTGAGAATGGCAGAGACCTTGGCATCAAAAATTATCTTTCGCTTCCCAAAGACATTCTAGTATATTTTAAAAATCTACCCACATTTACTTTCTAAGTGATTTCACTTGGGATCTAAGATTGGCTGCTGGTGACTTAGAGGTTGAATTTCTTATGCCTATAAATATAATTATTGGATTAGAGATCCAAATCTCCCATAAAAGCTAGAAAGTCATACACAAAATTAGTCTGAAAACAAAATGCTCAAATGAAAAAGTTAGTGAAGAAAAGCAAACAGAAAAATAGTACGTGTTACAAATCAGAAGAAAATGGAGAGATGGTATTACATGAAAGAGTCCAAAAATGATAAATTAGAAATTAGGGGGATAGGATAAAGATGAAATAATCATATAACATGAAACATTTTTATTAAAAATAAAATATTAGTAGAGAAAATTCCAGTGGTAAATATGTAAGAGAATATTCAAATTGTTCCGTGACTGCTCAAAGAACACAGAACAGATATAAAAAACTTAATAGGTGTAAAATATATTCAGGGAAATGGAAGACACATTTAACAGCACATTAACATTAAATATCTAATAGGGTTCCAAGAATGAGACATAATAGAAAATAATGAAGTATCAAAATTTTAAGGGATAATTGCTAAGAATTATTCAGGTGTGAAGAAAAAGCATGAATCCTAAGAAAACATGAGTTCTGAACACAATTTGTTTTTATAATCTATCTCCACACATGAATAAGTAATTAAAAATACTTTTACAAAGAAAACCATAGGCTGGGTGGTCTCACCAATATATATTTCCCAATGTTTATGGAAGAAATAACAAATTTATTCAATCTCAGAGGAATAGATGAGAGTGAAAATTTCATGATGCAAATCCACTTTGACATCAAAACCTGGCAAGACATGACAAAAACAAAATTATCATTCATCTTTCTCATGAATACAATGGGAGAGATTCTTGCTCTCACAGTATGAAATGACAGTGATATCTCTATCTATTTAGATTATATCAGAATATTGGATTTTACTTAAGACATGCAAGTTTAATACTTAAATGAATTAATATATCACTCTGTGATGGAGTCAAAGATGACACGGTGACGAGCTGTGTATATCACAGACCAAAGAGAGCACCATAGTGGCCAGTGACGGGGTCAAAGGCTGGCAGCCCTGGCTGATGTGCACAGCCGGGTGGCATGGGCAGGCAGATACTGTCACACTGATTAGAAAGGACTCTGCTCATGTGTGGCTGCCATGGCAAAGCACCACAAGCTGGGTGAGTAAACACAGATCTTGATCCTTTCACAGTTCTAGCGGCTACTAGTCTGCAGCCAGGGGACTGTGGGGTGGGGCTCTGGCGGACAATCAGCTCCACACCTCTGTGACTCTAGTTGCATCCTTGATCTTCCTTGACTTCTAGACTCACCGCAGCGATCTCCACCTCAAGGCGTGTCTCTACGTCCTTCCATGTGGCTGTGTATGCCCAAATTTCTCTTCTTTAAGGCAATCAGTCATTATATGAGGTCCCTCGTTGTATTTATTCAATTAGCCTCATCTGAACCTGATTGCATCAGTAAAGATCCAATTTCCGATATATCATTTAGCGGACAAAATTCAATTCACAATGGTATCCTTCAATATACAGGAAGAGCCCCGGTGAGTTTTTCATCCCAAAGTAAAAAGCTTGTATTTTCATTTTATGGGAAGGTTTTGATCGGCATTATATGAAGCTGGAATTAAAAAAAAAAAAAAAAAAAAGCTTGAATCCAGAAGGACTAATTTGCTGCTGAAGTGGGGGAAATAAAATTAATGTGAGAGGATGTATAGCAAAAGTAAAGGAGTTAAGCATATATTTTAGAGATGAAATCAAAGGCCTTTTTTTGTGGGAGTTAGGAGAGTAGGGAAATTAATGGACAATAATGGCATGTCTGTGTGGGTACAACCATTTTGTTCACAATACTGTTCTGAACATTATTATTGCTATAAATATTTATAAATAAAAAACTGGTTTATTATAGTTTGTAACTAGAGAATCCTGTGTACTGTCTAAAACAAGCAAAAAGTAGGGGCCTCCATGGTGGCACAGCAGGTTGAGCAGCGCAGCCCTGGGAAACTGTCCTTGGCCTCTGCATTGCGGGTTCAATTCCTGGCTGGCCAGGGATTCCCACATGGTGCGGCAGACCTCTCCTGTCGCTGCTCCCCGCAGCAGTGCTTTTGGTGTGTCTGCCTGTTCTGCTCCCCACTCTGTCTGGTGAATCCTCTCATCCTCCCAAGCCTCTGGCCTGTATCCCAGCTATTGTATAAATAAAAAATAAATCTTAAAAATAAAACAAAAAGTCCTAAACATAATTGCATGGACACAGTTTATCTCCTTTTTTTGTTACTGGTAGAGCAAGATAAGAGTATGAGATTTTTCATTTATGTACATGCAATTTTTAATGAAAGGAGATCATCAGAATATCAGAATGATGTTTTATTCTACATCCTGATAGGATATTGGATTAAGAAAAGGAAGAAGGGCCTTCAAATTCTTAATTTACATATCTTTTACTTTCTTGGTATTTTAAATCATCCTAACCTGTGTTCCACTTGAAATTTAATAATAGATGTTTTCTATTTTGCTAAAATTTCAATAAATGATAATTCCAAATATTTCATATTTTAACACTTAAAACTTAGTTCAGTGTATTAAATCCCATAGAATTATGTTATTCATTCATTTAACAAACTGAAATAAAATACAGTGCAGTTCATTTTAAGTGGATGAATGTTTCACTAACGTGGGGAAATTAATTTGTAAATTACTCTTACCAAAAAAATCTCATTTTGCAGACATGGAACAATAGAACAGTGCCTTTTAAAATTCACAAACATAGGACATTTTGGCAAAATGGGAGGTGTACACACCTGTGACTACTGAGTTGTGTGAAAGTTTTATTTCCTGATATGAAATTCTAAAGCACTTGGCTTTTGTGCCGGCACAATCCAAATAGCAAACCAGCCAAGTTTCATATAAATAATATTGAGCTCCCCAGAGCCTCATGGCAGGCAACCCACACAACTTTTCTGACTTTCTAGTTTAAGCAGTTTAGTAGTAAAAGTTTTTCTAATATTTTTGATATATTTTCCTGCCGATGTTGAAAAACATCCAATTCTGAATATTACTGCATCAGTATTAACCACTGTTTTTCGGAAATATTTATGTAACTCTACAAGCATCACATTAATCCCAAAACATCCCCCCACCAAGTGTTTTTTGACATTCAAATGGGATATCTCCTACAAAGATTTTTTTTTAAGTAGACGCATGTATTTAAGAATTCAAATGTGATTTTTTCCCCTGATGTCTCATTTAGTTCCCCTACATTCCTCCTGTTAGTGAAACCATCCGATATTTTTCTTTTTCCTTCTGACTTATTTCACTGAGCATAATTCCTTCTAGTTCTATCCATGTTGCTGTGAATGGCATGAGTTTCTCTTTTGTGGTAAATAAATTAAAAAAAAAGAATTCAGCTGTGATACTTAGAATGAGTTGGCGTTACCATCCACGCTCAGCCCCATCTACTGTGGGTTCATGTTGCTGCTCATAGTGTCCAGCAAGCAGCTATTCTTATCTGTGACACAAGTTCTCTCTGATGATGTCTGTTTATCTCTTTATCCCAGCTACCCCCAGCTTACACAATTACTCCCTCACAAATAGCAGTGAAATTACTATTTTACTTCATTTTAAAGAAATGTTAAGTGCATTGGAAATAGTTGAAGGTGAAACAAAGTAAGAAACGGATCATTTTACATTTAGGGCACATTTTGGAAAGTTTTAAGGGCAGTAATAGTAATCAGGAAGCTTGTTGAGAGTTGTAGTAACCTCGATGTGAAATCTCATTGCATCGTGTAAATATGTTTAAGATATCCTCAGATTCATGCGCTTCCTTCATCCTCTTACCAAAACAATAGTAAGCTGACATGAAATTGATGATGGACCCTGTAAATCCTCAACTTTTAAATTCTACTTGGTGTGTAATCAGTTCTTCCCTTGCACACGTAATCATCATCAGAATAATTTCATTTCTGGGACTACAAAGGAAATATAAATTCTATTATACAGGAATCATAATAAAAATTAGAAAGACTCACATTACTAAATTCATATTAGAAACAATAGGTTTCCACAAGATATTTTTTCTCTAAATATTTGCTGGTAAATAATCTATGAACTAATTATATCAAATTTAACAGTCATTGGCTAGCTCACATTATGCTTGAGCAATTACATACAAGTAGAAGTATACTTTAAAATTAAGGTTGAATTTAATGTATTATCATTTCAATAAGCCAAAATGATTCAGTATTTAGAGCTTCAAAATTAACACCAAGACTGTAGCTTTACTAATTAGTTTTTCCCCCAGAAAATACCGATGCTTTGCAAGAATATTTTGGGCATAAGAAAATTAAGAACTTTCTGATTCCATAAGCTCATGTAATTAAACAAATATTCCAAGAATGAAAACGTCAGACATTTAAAGATATCACTTAGTTGATGTAAATAAAATGAACAATGACTCTTCATTTAAGGAAAATAAAAAGATTAAGTAAAGAAATTACTTTAAACTGTGGAATTTCTACTTGGTAGATATTGATTAAAATAGATCATTTTACATTAGGGATTGTGTAAATAATTTAGCAGAAGGAAAATACATTGTTCATTGTGTGAAACTGCTTTTGTTGACACTACAATGTGCCAAACATATAAAATGAAAAGTGTAATACTAAGGGCTTTATGAATTTACTAAATGTTAAAATTTTATTTAATCTTCTTGCTACAGTTTCATTAAGTTGGTGTGTGTTGGTATTAAATTATATTCTAATAATGACATTGCACCTTAAAGGAAAAATATCTCAAGTAATATTTTTGAGTTCACGTTAGGAATAATTACAGCAAACTTTTATATGGGTTTTCTAAATATCGAATATAAAATAGTGACACAGCTGGAATCCCATTACCACAGTCTGGCTCTAAAGTTTATAAACTTAACCAGTACTGCATCAAAATCTGTGCAGAATATGTGATTTAAAGTGAAATTAATTGTAATTGTAACTATTTCTGCTTCCCATACCAGTGTGTTGTAGTGAGGCAATTCATTACATCAGTGAAAATGAGCTTCCCAGATTGATTTTTTTCTGTTGAGAGATCTAGCAAGGGGCAGGAAAAGAAAATCAGGAATGTTAAAGCTCTGTGCCACTCACCAGCGCCTCTGAACAGCAACATCCCCGGCAACTGCGTTTGAGTAAACCTAGAACTGATTATAGAGACAAGACATGAACTCAACTGCACGCTGAAGTGGAAGAAATGATAAATTAAAGATGCTACTCAGAAAACAGAATCAGGAAAAGTAAATCAAGTCAAAAAATAGATCTCAAGATCTATTATGACCTAATTTTCATGCCAGGAATCTGCTCACATCAATGCAGGTATCAGATCCCCCAAAGACCTGTGTCTGGGAGACCACAGCAGCGCTGCTCAGAATTCCCCAAACCCTAAACTACTCAGTGCCCATCAGTAGAAACTATTTAAAAATTATGATACATTAATAATTGAAAATAATACGATGATGAAATAGCACCACACACAATGGCATGTGTTAACGTCACATGCAGAATATTAAGTAAATTTAGTCAAAGACAAAAGGGTAAATCTGTGTGATTTCACTGATGTATGTTTCAAAAACAAGACAATCTATTTGGACAGGTTAAGCTGGAATAGTATGTCTGTAGGGTGGTGAGTGGGGTGATGGGTTGTGCAAAATGGGAGCTTGCTGGGATGCAGTCGTTTTCTGTTGTTTTGTCACACATTTCAGTGGGGGCTACTGAGGTCATCATTTTGCAAAAAATTCATATGCTATATACTTATGATTTGAGTTTTGTCTTAAATATATATTGTACACCAATACAATGCTTACGTGCAATGATCATCTACTTAAGCTCTTGACAAAATTAAAGGACCTCAGAAAGACGAGGACTAAGATTTTAGAGCAGGAAAACCACAGGAAAACTGAATGAGTTGCAGCTTCTTTTTGCCATGAACATGAACTCAGCCATGGAGAGTTGGTCAACGCTGGAACCAAGGTGAACTCCTTGACTTTCTGGCCTCCGGCTGCTCATTAATATTTTCCTTGAAAATGGAATTATTTCATCTTTATGGTTTTCTTGTGAGTTTATTATTTTGATATTCTTGATGTGTCAATATTTTTATGTAATCAAGATTGCTGGATATACATGGTTTTTGTTTTCCTTTATATTCATTTGTATTTTTTTCTTGAAAATTTTGTTTTGGAGATTGTTGTTTTACTCCTTGGAATATTTTCTTCCATGGGAGGTGTTCTGAGTCTATATAAGCTTTGTGTTTTTCAAACGCTTATGTTATTTATCAGCCAATTTCTATACTTGTTTTCTTTGTTGGTTATTATAATACCTTAACAAAATTAAATTCCGCAGAATAGACTCTAATATTTTATCATTTTTTAACAACTCAAGTATTTCTTCTGCACAAAACTATATAGTCTGTGATTCATAGTGTTCCTAATAAGTGGCATAAAGGTAAGACAATCCTCTGAGTCCTTTGGTTATTTCCATTTCAGAAATAATTCTCTATAAATGTTATATTACTACAGAAAATATGACATCTGATTCCTTTAAATCCTCAAATCTCTTTTTATGTGTTATTTTCATCACTTTTGTACTTGATTCTACATTAGTTATTGATATTTTCACCAAGAGAAAGTGCATGAAAATTACCAAATATTTTATGTGCTAACAAGTTTGTCATTGAAGATTAGAATTTCGGAGTAGATTAGAATTTCGGAGTTTGTGTACATACTGGTCTAAGAACTGTGTGTGCGTGCGCATGTATGTACGTGTGTGTGCACCTGTGAGTGTGTGTTTAGGCTTCCTTTACAAATTCTTGTCACCACAGACAGTTCTTTAAAATGAGAAGTTGAAAGTATTTTTCTGCACTTGATACTCAAAATATTTTCCTCGTCGTATTTTACATCATGTATTAGTATGGCTGTCTAAATACTTGAGTATTACTTGTATACCTTAGAAAATTAAGCCAGAAAAAAGAATGCGTTATAGGGTTTGGAATCACATGCCTCTTATAAATCACATGCCTCAAAATTGGACCTCATGTGGAAACATTTTTCCTGACATTGGACTATAAGCAACGTAGGGCTGTGATTCCTAAGACATGGGACGCTAACAATGTGAAGTTCACATTATCCCAATTTTTGACCTTGGAAATTTCTGCACGGTGGCTGAAGGCACTGGAATTCGTATCCAGCCTGGCAATCAAGCTGGGTGAGGCAAATAGAGCTCAAAGCTGAATGAGAAGGGAGTAGATTTCCAAAATCTGCATACGTTTGGCCTTCTGCCTCTGGCATACAGGAGGTGAAATTCCACAAGGGAGAGCTAAGAAAATTTCCCTGGGCAAGAATTATGAGGGAGCTTGTTAAATTATAATACAGCAATGAGCCAGAGCTTAATCTACAAGTGAAAACAAAGCTTTTCTTTGTGTCTTTGGAGGATGCTATTGGGGTAATACCTTGCACTGGCTGTATAAGAGCACCAGTGTGGGGAAAATACAGCTTCTACAGGCAGAGCTGCCTCCTGCAGGTAAACTCAGAAGATTTTCTGAAAAGGGGAAAGAAAAACCAGGGATACCTGTGTCTTAGTGCAGTGACCTTTTGTTCTCCTTTGAAACTGTGATCTGAAGATGTCTGTTGGTCTCTCTAAGAGACTGGAGTCTCCAAACTTCAAATTCCAAGTGTCAGGATGCTGATATACTAAGGGTGATGACGGCAGGTATAAATTCAGGTAGCCAGGTAAGGGTTGGTAGACCAGCAACAATTAATTCTATGAATAATTAATTATAGATAATTGTTCATAGATAATGAATATTTAATTATTCATCAAAATAATTAATTCTTATAATTCTATAGTAGCCCAGCATAATTAATCCCCATGGCCCCCGCTGACTCCAGGTCAGTTGATCTCTTTATCAATTTAATTCCATGATTTCTTGGTCATCTCCACCAACTCTCATCCCAGCAATTCCCAGACCTCACAGAAAAAGGAAACATTTTTAATCTCCACTAGCTAGAGAAGAGGACTGGTGTGAATACAGTGACAATCCGCGGAAATCACATTTACTCTTTCCTCATCACTGCCTCCAGCACTTTCCTAAAATAAATCCTATTACATCACTTCACTCTCAAAGTGTTTGTTGGTTTCATGTTGCTATCAAAGAATTATGCGCTGGTTCAATTCAATGAGTCGTCCTCTAAGCAAGGCGGGGCAGCATCTGTTCAGCGTGTGTCCTCGCTGCAAGTCAGTCCCTTGAGTACCTGTATCCCCTGCCACCTCACCTCCTGAATCTCTTATTCCCACCACAGTGACGCTTCACAGTGATCTCATATAATGCCAAGGACATCCCTGCTACTTACTGTTCCAGAACTTTGTGTCTGCTGTCCCTTTGGCTTCAAATGCATTTGTTCTTCCTTGACCCTTTAAAAAGCTCCAGAGGTGACACGGCTGCTTTCTCAATTTGGACTAGTTATAAACTCTGGACTCCTAAGGCCCTAACTTGAAAAATGCCCCAACAGTGGCTTTGTGTGTCTTGTTATTTGTTTATTTCAACCCCATGCAAGCATTGCATGAGTTTAGGACCGAGTGATTTCTGAAATCATGGCATGGCCATAACACAGGAATTTATGGGACTGAGTAAATCCTGCTTATCCTTTAGAAGTGGTTCCAGCGGGTTCATTTATAAAATATGTATTTTACCCTTTAAATTTTGACATCCCTACAGCTGGCATTGTAAACATTTCAAGCCGCAAGGTAAGCACAGTGCTGCAGGAGAAGAAAAATGTCTTTGGGATGTAATTTGATTGTCTATAGTAGACTAAGGAGACATGTGGCAGGTACTTAAAAAGTCTTTGCACTGACATTTTAAAAAAATTTGAGTACCTTATAAATGCCTTTGGATAGTGTTCTTGCAAAGACATTTCCCAGAGTGTGCTTTAGAAATTGTGTGGCTAAGCCTCAACCCAGGTGACACGCGGGACCTGCAGGATCTCGAGGGTTCCAGGAGAGCAGGAGAGGAAGCCGAGCCTCAGGTGTGCGCGACTTGTAAACACTTCAGGAGTCTAGGAGCACTTTAATCCCTCCGTCCTCAGAACTGCTAGTACACTCAGCTAAACCCTGCATCCTATTTTTAGCTTATTGAGACATGGGACTTCCAGATGTGCTTTTGACTATGCCAAACATTTGCTGTGAACATATTTCCAGGTAGGGCGAAGTACAGAAACATGACTACCAATTGAAATGCCAAACTTACTGTTCTACATAACATGTATATTGCATTTTAAAAAATTATGTAGGGCCTCCCTAGTGGTGTATGGGTTAAGTCTCAGCCTGAGTTAGAGCCCCAGCGAGGGAGCTGACCCACATGGTGCAGCAGACCTCTCCTGTCTCTCCCGCTGCTCCCCTCATCCATGTATTTTCTTAGATCTGCTTATCCTGCTCCCCACTCTGTCTCTGGTGAATCCTCTCACCCTCACACCTCTTGCCTACAACCCAATTTGTCTACACACACACAAAATCACGTAGTACTAAAGATATCATATTTCTAAAACATCAGTCTATTTTTAATGTGATCCACATTCCTGGGTTCTAGTCTGTTACCCAGAATTAGTGACTTGGTATTTTATTTTGACCTCTATATTTTTTTTTCAAAGATTTATTTATTTATGCATACAAGAGCTGGGGCACAGGCCAGAGATGCAGGGGGTTGGGGGGGGGGTGAGAGAATTCACCAGAGACAGAGTGGGGAACAGAACAGGCAGACTGACTGAAGTACACTGCTGAGGGGAGCAGTGGGCGAGGCAGGAGAGGTCTGCTGTGCCTTGTGGGTAGCTCCCTGGCCGGCCAGGGATCGAACTCGTGCTGCAGAGGCTGTGGATTGCTTCATAGTGCAGAGCTTAACCCCTTGTGCCACCAGGGAGACCCCTTGACCTCTATATTTTAATCAATATACCTATGATTTTTTGTCACACTATCAAATTTAGACTATAAGTATGTATTGGATTTTACTGTATTGGTTAAAGGATTTCGCTTATTGACAAAACCTGAGTTTCTCATCTCAACATTCTTCATCGACCTAAAATCGGGCTCTATCACACCAGTTAGTTTTATATTATTATCATTTTACATTTTACTTTGTGTCAAGTAACCTCCTATGATGCTTTTTTTATTGTAAAATTTTTGTTTTTCTTTTAACTTCAATGAATTGGCTTTTTTTTTTCTTTAATATGTATAGCTGTTGTCCAAATACTCCCAGAAAATGGTCAATCACCTGGAAATCGCTGTCCACATGTTGGAACATTTGAAATAACCTTTCCTGGTATTTTGCCTTGTCTTGTGGTTTGCAAACAATCCTCAGCAATGACACTTCCCTTTTTCTTGTGAAATGGTCACTGAAACAGCATCTACTGCCTTGCTTTCCACTGATTATTCTGTTTCCTGGAGCACATATCTTACTTGCTTTTTATTTGCTCTCTCTCTTTAATATTTAATATTTTTATTTATGCATACAAGAACTGGGGTGTAGGCCAGAGGTGCGGGGTGGAGGGTGCAGGTGAGAGGATTCATCAGAGAGAGTGTGGAGAGCAGCACAGGTGGGTCCACTAAGAACACTGCTGAGAAGCACAGCGGTAAGACAGGAGAGTTCTGCTCTATCTTGTGGTTTAGCTCCTTGGTGGGGGATTGAACTCATGCCACAGTGGCCAGAAATAGCTGAGACTTTTACTCCTACGCCACCAGACTTTAACCCCTACGCCACAGCCACTGCAGCACGGAGTTCCATCCACGGCTGGCCCTGCTCCCTCTCTTTAATGCTGCACATGCTCAAGTATTTTCCTCCTGGCTCTGATCATGCATAAAAAAGAAGGACTCTGTGGTATTTGTGTGGGGCTACATTTTGCCACAGTGGGATATGACCCCTGGAAACTGAGGGGTTTAACAAACAGGAATACCTACTAATGGGCGCTGCAGCTCCAACATGGAGCAGCAGGGGGCGATGCCCATAGTGGTCAACCAGGCTTACAGGCTGCTGCAGGCTTCCTTTCAACAAGCTTCTGTTTCCTTGGTCAAAGTAAGTGTCATGGCCAACATAAACACATAACTAGGGAAGAAAACTCCTGCTATGAGCCTGAGAAGCAAAGTACTGTAACAAAAATAAAGACAAAGACCACAGTCAACCTAGGGGAAAGTCCTCTGAAATCAGGTGGCATCTTGATACTAATCAGACTGGGTTTGCCCCAGCAAACCAGAGCATTAACTTTCATTCTGGTGTCTTCCTTCCCATATGCAGATAACAACATTCAGTCATCTCCGTGGCCCTGTGGCTGATGACATGCCATCTCCCAAAGACAGCGCACAACAGCAGCACACAGCCATCCTCAGCCTGCTTCCTTTCTTACTCTCGCTTTCCTGGCAACGTAGCTTAACATCTTAGTTCTTTCTTTCCTGCATATACTACATCTATGATGTTTTGTTTGTTTCTCCTCTATTCTTAAGATCTTAATAGCAGGGTTTCCCTGGTGGCACAAGGGGTTAAGATGCAACCTATGAAGCTATCTGCAGCCACTGCAGCCCAAGTTCAATCCCCTGCCAGCCAGGGAGCTACCCCCATGGTGCAGCAGACCTCTCCTGTCTCGCCTGCTGCTCCCCTCAGCAGTGGATTTCAGTAGATCCACCTGTGTCTCTGGCGAATCCTCTCATCCCCTGCACCTCTGACTTGTACCCTAGTTCTTCTATGCATAAATAAATAAATATTAAAATAAAGATCTTAAAATAAAAAACACAATAATTACCATTTTAAAAGATGACTGAGAAGTAGTTTCAGGAAGACGACCTGCGTTGAGATGATTGGACTTGTCTTCATGGCGGATGTGTCTCCACATTACCAAGTGCAGACATTTCACTGCACCCCTTGATACACTGCAGGGTCCTCCCTGGGATCTGAATTGGAATGTTGGTGGCTTCTTTTGAACAAGTGTCCACTTACTCACACTAGTGTGTCAAGCTCCACTAGCTGGTATAGTCAAGCTGCCAACCTGGTCTCAGTGATGGGGCTCCAGAGGCAAGCTTCCAGTTATTTCCCAGCCTCCTGGAGTCCCCCCAAATTTGTGGTAGTCATGTCTTTATTTCAAAGATGTTCAATCCCATTATCGAGCTATTGATAAAAATGCCAAAAGGCTATTATAACTGTTGTTTCTACCTTAGATTGACACTGTGGTATTTGTAATTCCTCTTTAGCATAATCCTCCTATCATTTAAAAATCCTCAAAGCTGCATCAGAGTCTAAATGATTTTTAATATGATTGATGAGCAGAGCATTTTAGACAGAATCAAAAGCCTTTTCTAAAGTTAATTTCACTGCCATCTATTGATTCGTCTCAATAATATGGAACTAGAGGAAAACTATTCTCAAGTTAATGCACACCATTTTCAATGAATAATGCAAGAACACCCAGTGATTGCTGATCTATTTATCAAAGGTTAGACATTTTGAAACATGACCTCAGTAGCATGATCTGGAAAAAAATCAACTTAAATATGTAAGAAAGTGGGAATATCATTTTATTTACTATTTAGTAAATTTGAAATATGTTCAAAACTCAAAAGCAAAACAAGAAAAATAACTCGCCTGAGCAAGAAGCAGATTTAAAAGAACACTTACGGATTTTCAGTAATGGAGCTGGCCAGTGCAGACAATGGAGCCAGCTCTACCCGCAAGTGTCTGGACATGCCCAAAGCAGGAGGGACAATGCCCCCCCATGCTGCATCTGAAC